GGACAGAGATCAAATTGTGGAAAAAGAAAACAATAGATGATTCTAAAAGGAATAGTTTTTTATAGGTTATCATGATCCCAGCTCAAGACCAGTGCGGTGCTTGCCAGCAAACTTGCCAAGCTTCATGTGGCTCATCCAACTGCAACTGCCAACAGTCTTGCTCTTCTGCTTGTGGAAATCAAAACAACCAGCAGGTGGATTATACCTCTCCATTCTCGTTTCCTGTGACATAGGGAAAAATTCATAGTTTGCACTTTTTAGGTCATCGTCATCCAGGGTAGCTCGGACAACTGCAACAACCAATGCAACCAACAATGCGCTTCCTCCTGCTCAACTCCTGTGTGCGCTTCGTCGTGTCAATCTTCTTGTGCTTCCGCCTGCACTCCTCAATGTGCACCAGCTTGCATGCCCACGTGCACACCATCGTGCACCCAACAGCAATCTCAGCCAATCGTTGTCGTCGTGCCACAGGGCGATAGCTGCTCGAGCTCGTGCCAATCTCAATGCAGCTCGGCTTGCTCAACTCCTGTCTGCCAACAGTCGTGTAACAATCAATGCCAATCGTCTTGCAACAACAACCAGCAACAGGTACGGTAATTTATGACCTAAGATAGCACAGCACCATCTATAGCTTTATTTTATAGGTTATTGTCGTCCAACAACAGCAACAGAACTGCCAAAATCAATGCCAGAGTAGCTGTATGAACACTTGCCAAGCCTCAGCTCCCGCAGTCACCTGTCAGCCTATGTGCCAGCAAACTTGCCAGCAAACCTGCCAGCAAGCCCAGCAGATTGTGGTACACTAAATTTCATATCAACTATCCAAGCCTCCTTTACAACTCTTAATTTAGGTGCCCTGCCAACAGACCTCCTCATCTAGCTGTGGATGCTCAACCGGCTACTCTCAATGCGGTGGATCATGCTGTCGCAGACGCTAAAATCCAAGCAATGAAGGAAGAGATAACTATTAGAATTCTGGTGTCTGTACAAAGTATTAGCTGCAAATTTGGCGCTTAAAAGCATCTTAACGATTAAGATGCATATTCGCTTCTAATGTAGATGAATTCGCAAATGTTTAATAAATTTCATAATTGCTACGTCGTAGGTCTACTGTAAGCTCATCTTAAAATACAAAGCTTGCCATTTTTAAACCGATATTTGGATTCTAGATGCAAGCAAATTAACATGATCTATATGATATTCCACATTTCTGAGTAGATTCAAAGGAATTTCTAAAATGACTGTCCTATCTATTATCTCAGCATAGATAGGTTATTTCGGACTTAAGAAATCTAAGGAGCTGGTCCCAAAACGACTAAACTTTCTGCGAAAGCCGAATTACGAATAACTGTTATAATCAGCACAGGATGCTTACCTGAAGTTGACTGAACGAAGTTTTGATTTATTCAGAAGACTAAATAGCTGCGTATTTCAGGCTATTCTTATTAAACTTCCAATAAAAGGATAGAAGTGCAAAATTTACTTCTCTACCACTCATTGAGGGGCATTTAGCTAATCTGTTTACATTCATTTTGACTAAATCATTCAAATAATACAAAAAATTCAATTTTTTTTGCTTCCTTCTCAACACGAGGAAGATTTCACTGCTAAGTATGAGTCGACATAGTAAGCAGCCGCATAATTCAGAAGCGCGAATCGCACTGCGACTTTTTCACATGGAAAGGAAAAGCCCACTCAAATTGAAACCACATATTGAAAAATCTCCAACTTACGTGGAAAACTAGGCAAACACACCGATTATATACCGCAAAGATTTTTTTTTCTATTCATCGAGTGGTTCCTAGTTTTTCTACACAAGATACATTGTTGAGATTCAATAGCTTGT